AATTAAAACAAATATGCAAATGGCTAAAGTCTTCAAATCCAATTTTCAATAACCTCATAACTTCCTTCTAATTTACACAGAATATTGCCCATCTACCAAATCAGCCAATAAAAAAAAAACAAACCGAATTATAACATCATTCATTCATTCAATAGTGCAAAGATCATACACCCAATTACAACAACCAACTACATACACGACAACCAACTACAAGGCAAGACAACCTGCCTCAGCCCTACCTGCAAAACAACCGACTACATATACACCAACCAACTACCACCAGCAATGACCCTGTAAGCCATTCTGCTTCATCACTTTCGTGGACTGCAATGTCCCTTGCCAAACATTCTGACATACTTTTATATTGACCTCAGAATGGACGAAGATGTCAGAGATGGGCGATGAGGGCTTCTTCACAATAAAGACTGGTTCGAATGGCATTGTGGTTTGGAGCGGGCAGGACTCGATTTGGAAGATCAGATTTTGGCGGTCGATTTGGAGGGCTTTGGCGGCTTCCTTCGTGGTCGTGGAGATGATGCGACCGTCGGGTTCCTTCCAGGTGGCCTTGCGCCGGGAGCCATCAGTTTGGGTGGCCTTGCGCCGGGAGCTCTTGCTCCGGGAAGCCCTTGGACGTTCAATTTAGGGATTTAGGCAGAAATGTCGTGAAAAAGGGAAGAAGCGTGAAGTTAAATGGGTTAATGTCGTGCCCAGGTTGTCAATTTAACGGGATGTTTTAGCCATGTAAGAAAACCGTGAGCCACGTGTACATTTCCGTCAATTTGAAGAGATGGAAGTCTACTGAGTGATGGATGGTTAATTATTAGGAAAGATGAGTGACCATTCGGTAACGCGTTAAAGCTGAGTGAGTAAGTGGTAACCAATTTAAAGTTCAATGATTATTCATTAAATTAACTCGTTCAAAATATAAATCACCATCACCCATCCTCCTACTTCCCCAATCCACCCACACCATGGTCACCATCGTCGTCGCCATCACCACCCACACAACGTCGGCACATCCACACTATTTGAAATAGGGATCAAATCTTCATCTAAACACAAATCTCAATCCTCAAATACTGTACCAGCTGTGGTACAATTCAATATTACCTTTTTGGTAATAAGAGTCGAGCTTCTGTGGAATTCAAGAACCGAGTTTGACTCGTATGGAGAGGTAATGGAGACACTGTTGCTTGGAGAAGTGTTGGTCTAGGTGGTCATTTTTGGATCTGGGTTCTTGTTACTTGGAGTAGATTTTCTGTGTACCAACTGCACTGATTGTATGTTTACCTTTCTCATGCGTTAACTAATAGTTGGTGGCGATGGTTATTTGCGGCTGTTGAAGACATTCCAAATGAAAAATCAATGTGGCAACGTGTTAGTATAGATGAATTTGATTTTTTTTGTTTTCAGATTGGTGGTGGTGGGCGTGGGCAGTTATTTTTCTTCGAATGATTTTTGAGTATAGGGGTCGAGTTTTCTTGGTTTGATTTTCTAATGTACAGTGAGCTGGAAGGTGACGATGGTGAGTGGGTGTTGGTGGTGCT